AAGCAAATTAAAGAAATTCTTGGTGATAACGTTGTAAAGGTAAAAAATTTTTTTATTTAAAGTGATAAACAAGTTTTTTTTTATTTAACTATATTAAAATCTATTTTATTTTTTAGGTTCTTGTATCAAATCGTATTTCAGTGTCGCCATGTGTTCTTGTAACTGGACAATACGGTTGGTCTGCCAACTTTGAACGTATCATGAAAGCTCAGGCATTACGTGATTCTAGTATGGAATCATATATATCATCTAAAAAGATTTTGGAAATTAATCCACATCATTCAATCATTAAATCACTTAAAACTAAAGTTGAGGCCGATAAGAATGACAAGATTGTTAAAGACCTTATATGGCTTCTTTTTGAAACATCACTTGTACATTCTGGTTTTAGTTTGGAAGAACCTTCAATATTAGCCAACAGAATTTTCAAGATGATTCAATTAGGACTTGATAATGGATATTAAATATTCTAGATGTAGTCTGGAACACCTGGCATTATTGACTAAGTGCACGTCCTATGAAAATCCTCCATAAATGCATGTCTTCTCTTGGACCCAACTAATATTATACTTATAGATTTTTAACCTTCCTAAATCTGACTTTATTTGAAATTGTTTACAAAACGATATGCAATCGATAATTTACTGCCAGCTGACAAAGATTATACTAACGTTTTAATATTCTGATGTTTAAAATATTTCCATTAGCCAAATTTAGCAATAGCTATCACGATGTTTTATTACAAAATTACAGTATAATTTTTAAGAAATAATAAGAATTATAATATTTTAATTAATTTATTTAAATGTAAATTTTTAATTAAACAAAATTAATATTATGTAATGATGTGAATTATCTATTGGAGAGCAAAACTAATTATCACAGAAATTTCGGAAATTTTTATTCCAATTAATTCTGCCTAAATTTGACATTTGTATTTTGCACAATTTATATGAAATTCATTTCTAATTCTACCTCGATATTTCTCATGTCTACCTATTCAAATTCGATAAAAAATTTTTTATTTTAATTCTACAAAGTAGAATTAAAAGATAAAAGTTTTAGTGACTTCGAAAAAATGGTCTTTGATTTCGGTAATTCAAATCATCGTTTAAGTTTAAAATGGAGAAATTTGCTCGATTTTAGTTTTTTCAAGATATTTTAAAGAGTAAAGAACTTAAATCTTTGATTTCGGTAATTAAATTATAATTCTAAATTTTAAAATTTGGCACTTAACATAAAGAATTGTTGAATTAGAAAATTGGCATTGTTTTAATTTTATATTTTATATTTTGTTATCATTTTCAAGTTAAATTTAAAATAAATGTTGTCGAAAGGTTCGATTAGATTCAATTAAACAAATCAATTATTTTATTCATAAAACTTAATTAAAATCAATTTGGCATTATTCAATAGAAAAAAGAAAGTTAGAAAATTAAAAATATGATTTAAGAAATGAATCCATTTTTGCTTTCATTAAACGTTGATGATTTATAATATTTACCAATTATTTCTTAGGTATGAAATAAAACTTCAAATACTTAGTAACAAATTGTTTCTAGTTATCTTGAAAGCCATTCAATTGTATTTTTAACTGTGGTAACTATACCATACCCATATCCTATGTTCAATAAAGTTGCCTTTCAGACAGTGGAAAAAGAATTTATTTTAGGGAATTTTAAGTAAATTTTCTTCTGCAAACAACCTTCATACCTCATGCATCTCTTGAGTATCTGTCGCTGTAACATCCTCAATAAAAACAATATCGTAATTCTCATCAAATGCTCCTATTAAAGTTATTATTAACAACATTTCTGTTCATAATAAATTAACATAAATACTCACTTCTGGCAGTTGTTTCACAGCATAAATTAGTTTTAACGCCAGAAATTATAAGTGTTTCTATACCGAGGGAGGTGAGAAAAGAATTAAGCTCAGTCTTGTAGAAAGCATCATATCGAGTTTTACTTTGGATAATAAAGTCAAGGGTACCAATAGAAGTCGGAGATCTCTAAATCGCAGAGAAAAATTATAAATGAACTTAGTCTTAATTCAACGATTAAAACTTACCGTAACAATTGAATCCAATTCTTTCAAAAATTTCCACTTTTCAGATCCGCGCATAATCATTTTATCTTTATTTTTCCACTTAAAAGTTATCATTATATTTCATTTTATTGATTTTATTTCTTCAATGAAAATTTATAAATACATAAAAATGATAATTAAATACCCATCGTGCCAGGGCGCCTCCATCGAGTTCAGAATTTAAATGACCATGCTGTGTCCATATAACGGGAATACCTTTCTCGTGACAAGTTGTGACGACAGATTTTACATTTGGAATAATTTTATTAACTGAGTCATTACAAAAAAATTCCTATTAAAAATTATTTAAAGGTTTGAACGGTAATATGTTCTTTATAACCTACTTGCATATCGATAACCAACAAGGCAGCCTTTTCAGGATCGTAAGGAATAGAAGTTGACATTGGTTGTTTGGTGATCGATGATATATCGAATTTAAATTGACCTCTAAAACGAGGGTATAGATTTTTGATATACTTAAACGGGTGCTTAGTCATCATATATATATATGTTTAGGAACTAATAATTTATATACTTTATTATTTACGTAATTGAATAAAGCAAACGTAAATTTCGAATTTTAATTAGAATTTTAACTTAATATTGTATTGTAGAACAAAATGCTGTATTTATTATAAAGATTGATTCAATTTTTTAACGAAATAAATTGTGTTTAATGAAATAATAAATTTCAGTAATTAAAAATTAATCTTTTATCAAGATGTCTTTGATCAAAGTATTATATCTTTATTAATCAATTTACAAATCACAACTGAAATTTCCGGTGAACCAAATGCTGAACCTTTTACCAACTTTTTTTGAACAGGTATATTTAAAAATCGCAATTGATACTTATTCACAAAAAAATATAATCGAATATCAAGCATTTTGATCAAGTGCATCTCCATTATATAAATTTAGGCGAAATAGAGTATAAAATTTATTTGGACCGTATTAGAGTATGAATTTGGGCTGAACTAGAGTATAAATTTGAGCCGAATAAGAATAAAAATAAAAATTTTGGCCATTAATGTGAGAGTAGAGTTTTATTATCTAAGTTGAATCATAATATAAATTTGGGCCGAATTCAATATGAATTTGGGATTATTATTATAAATGTTTACGGTTTATTTAATTTGGACCGTATTAATGTGGCCAAATAAAAGTATAATTTTGTATAGACATAAATTTTTGCCGTATTAGAGCGCGAATTACATTATTTCTCATTTAAAAAAAATTAAATATTTGTAGATTTGGTCAAAATTAAGTATAATTTACATATTTAAATTTAGGAAATTATACTTCTTGCAAGCTCGCATTAGATTTTAGAAATATATCGACTTGTAAGTCCAATGTCATTTCGAATCCGATGAGTTTTTAATGGAATTTTAAATCTTGAATGAGCAAATTTCGATCATTTAATTATAAAAAACGTGATTGTCACGTCCACTACAATGTATATATTACCACCTTCGATGGAAACTTCTAATCGTGTAATTGGACATTTCGAAACTGCAAGGATAACTTCATACGTGTATTATTACTTATATAATTTGATCTTGGGCCAATGTTGGATTAAATCAACGAAGGTTCAAAATCTTTTATTGTTGAGAAATGTCGTCGGATCATTGTGTTGCTTCCTGACTATGCAATTATTCAAAAGGTGGTTGTCACGCCCACTACCACTTTCGATGAAAACCTCTAATAGAGTGATTAGACATTTTCGAATTTGCAAACGATAATTTATTACGTGTATTTGGTAGATTAATCAAAAAGTTTCAAAATCTTTTTTGTTAAGGAATGTCATTGGATCTTCGATCATTGCCATGTATATATTACCACCTTCGTAATTAGACATTTTCAAAATTTCTTATGTGTATTTTACTTATATATAAATCAACATCAAAAAGTTTCAAAATCTCATTGTTGAGAAATTTCATTGGATCATCTCTCTTTAAGCAGAATTAATTACGCAAAGAATGCTTAATCATATGATCTTATCTCTGTCACCATTAAGGCTGAGATTAGATTATATGAATTAAAACTATATAACTTATTGCAAATAAACGAACTGGGTTGTCTTTGAACTTATGATTTGAACTAATTGTCTGGTTAAAGTAAAATATTCAATTGAACCATTAATAGCCGATAAAATACAATACAATCTTTTTTGATGTATTCAATGCAAAATTAAAGTAAAAATTGTTCTTTCTTTTGAATTGTTCTAATTCACTAAGTTTTGTTGTTACAATTCTTGTTTCAATTCTTCAAAAATAATAGAAATTGATTGGACGTTACAAAGCGAATGATTTTGTAACCATGTATTATCATTAAAAACACGATTTTATATTAACTTAATTTCTTTTTTACGTCAAAACTCAATTGTTTTTAAGATCATATTATATTTGAACAAATTAATTTGTATAATCTGAGAGTCCCAAGCACGATTCAAAAACTGAAAAATTCAAAAATGAAACAACTTAAAATCATGCTGATTTAATTAATTTAGTCTATACTGAATCAGAGCATAAATTTGAGACGAAGATTTAGTATAAATTTGGGCCGCAATTAGAGAGTAAATTTTGGTTTATTTAATTAACTTGGGCCGTTAAAGAGTATGAATTTGGGTAGATCTAGAGCTAAATTTCGGCCAAATTAGAATAAAAAATTAAAGTTGAATCATAGAATTAAAACATAAGTTTTGGCCTAAATATATATTTGTCTATATTTATTAACCTGGATACTTTAAATCATTTTGTATCTTTAATTTTTGTATTAAACTTGTAATTTTTCTTTCAAAAAATTTTTATTAATATTATTAAGATAACATGAAGATAAACAAAACCATATTTTTACAAATTCAGGTTTCTGTAAAAATAGCTTAAAGCTAGCCAAATCATGTAAAATTTTTACCAGCATCATATTATTTCGATTTTTGTGATTTCAACATACCATTTAAAATATTATAATGTAGTTTTTTTTTGAACCTAAGTTAGTTTAAT